AGATGTGGGCCCGGGGCTCGGGTTTTGCCAACTTCGTGATTTTCGATGTTTTTCGAGTCTTTTGCGATTGGGTTATATTCCCTTAGCATATTGTGACGTATTCGTTGTGGTTTTGGTCAGATTCGACGCACGAAGAGGTGAATTCGAAAGGCAAGGGCATAGCAAGCTAGGACCTTGGCCGGCTTGAGGTTAGTAATAAATGTAAATGCTGTGTTGAGGATTTGAAACCCCGAATTTGCATAACGTAGTGCTATGTGAGGTGACTTGCACGCCGGATAACGGGCGTGAGGTAGAGCACCGTCGGGGATTGTGACTTGGTCCGTCCCGCTTAATAAAATTGATACCTATTTGATTGTAGATTTGTAATATCCTTATAAAAAAGGGATTAATTGTCATAATTGGGCTTCGTGCCAACTACTCGAATCCTTCAGGGATTATTTTAATGGTTTCTTACCATATTTATAAATATTAAACTCAGTCCTGGTATTTAATACTGTGTTTGAAATCTCAGCCATTTTCTTAAATTAGAAATTAAGTTAATATTTTAAATGAAGTTTGGATTGAATATTTTTATACTATTGTGTGATTTTTGGACTGAGTATGGGATCGGGCTGCACGCCGCAGTAGTATTATAATGATATTGATATGAGGCCAAGGGCCTGTTTGATGCCACGAGATGGCTTATTATTGCGCTTGGGCCGTAAGGGGCCCCTCCCGGAGTCTGCACACCCCCAGTGAGTGCCGTCGACGTTAAATAAATGGAACGAGCTGCACGGCCGCAGCGGGGTACTGGAGGTGCCGGTTTATGTGTTGCATTGCATATTTAATTGTCATTTATTTCTTCATCTGTTCTGATGTTTATTCTAACTGCATTGCTGCTTAATGGTATTTTTAGCTTTACTTTGTGTTTATTTAGGATTTCTTATCCTCAGACCTTATTTATATTTATTACTTTCTGAGTTGGAAGTACTCACAATACTCCCTGCACCTTGTGTGCAGATCCAGGTACACCAAAGGGTGAGTGAAGGCTTGTTAGCTGAGCAGCAATTATCTGGGAGTGTCGAGGTAGCTGCATGGCGTTCGCAGCCTTGATCTCTCCCTTCTATCTTTTATTATTTTATTCGTATTATTTTCCTAGTCGGACTTGTAATAGGTGAATAATCTGCTTCTAGAGGCTCATGTTCGTGACACCAGATTCTGTGAACTATTTAGTATTTTATTTTTGGGGTTTTCGAATGTTAGAGATTATATCAGAATTTTCGCACTAAATTGGTATTATAGTAGTGAACATTTATTTATTTATTTAGATTATTTGGCTAAGGTTGCGTAAATGGTCGGGCTTGCCTAGCAATGTGTTGGGCGTCACCACGATCGGGGTTTGGATCGTGACATCTACCTTTTAGAAAGTTTTGCTTTGTGGCTAAGATATTTTTTCCCTATAAATAGAGGGGCCTTACCCCATTATAAATCATCACAAAATCAATAAGAATTCCCTCTCCCTACTTTTCGTTGCAATACTCTTCTTCTTTTTTATTGTTTCATTACACGTTATTAGCACGAGACTCTAGCCAATTGAGTAAAAGCTTTGGGATTGAGCATAATGATTGTCAATTGTTCCATGAACTTCCTTCATGATTAAATTCTTGATTTAAGGTATGTATTTTACCGTATTTTTCTCTTTTATTCTATAATTTAATTTTAAATACAAGCAAAGACAATAAATTTTGATTATAACTCTAATGGAGTTAGTAAAAAATTATAACCACCCAAAGTGGTGAAATATTTATGCCTTGCCATGATTGTGGGCAAAGAATTGAAAACCCGTCCCATTGAATTTGCTCCATTCTCATTCCCTTAAGAGAATGTGATAGCAATATGTGATAAGTATGAAAGAAGACAAAATTATTACCGTGAAGGTATCAATGGATGTGGGCGTGACAATAGACGGAATTATAATCGTCATCATTGTGATAATGAGAATAATAAGGATTCTCAAAATAATCTTTCACTCTGTGAAAGTAATATTTGTCATCGATTTGACATGAGATTTTATAAAATACATATAGATGATTATGGTCTATTTATGATGTGAATGTGACAACATCTGATTTTTGAATACATATTCATTCTTGGAAGAATATAAACGTGCTAGTGGTAGTGAATATACCACACTCACCTCTGGAAGGAGGTTTGAGACGATATAAGAAAATAATGTCATTATTATGGCATGAGTGGTCATTGGTCATGTACCTATTGCACGCCAAAATATTTTGGTAATGTGATTATTAAAGAATAACATTAATGCAAGAAACATATCTTGCATATAATTTTGACCATAACCGTAATGGTATAACTTTCTCTTTAAAAGAGATATTCACCATATGAATGTTGATGAATATGTGGTAGTACCAAATTAATTGAGAGCTCTGGAAGAGCCAATTAATAATATTTTGGAGGAATACAAATAATTATCAATGAGACATTGTGTTATAGTAAGTCTCAGAGAAACTTATTGAGTCTCTAAAATATTCGTGAAAGCGATTGGTTATATTGAGACTATAATAAAGAAAAGATTTAATATCTTCTATTACTACAACTTATAGCGGGGTAATATTTATGGGAAAAGTTACCCGCTTTATTCTTCAGTTTGTACTACATAAATAAAAGAATACCACAATAAAGTGGATGTTTCTTGATATAAAAACCCATATCGTAATAAACTTAGAGTTTATTGATAATTGCACACGTCATGGTATAAACTTGAAATTTATCAATATTGATAATTTATCCAATTGGCATAATTGATTACCCATGTTAATTTGAGTATGATGTGCAAAAATAAAAGAGAATTCACATGGGTAAATATTAAAGAACTAGAAAGTTCTTTACGAATTCTCTTATGTTGTTTGTTCTCATTAATTAATAGACCAATTAAAATTGGGATTCAATCCCATGAATACTGAAAATATCAAAAGTGACTATTGGCCCATTCACCTTCCATGTATACCACATAAGATGCATCTATGAGATGGTTATAAGTGCGATTATTATTAAACCGCAACTTGGTGTTTGCGAGTAATTAGCTCAATAATTTAATTTAGAGCATAATTTCCAGATTTTCTATTCAAGATAGTTTATCTTGATAAGTTGGTTTACATCACAACTGGTTTAGCAAGATGATTTATTGAGTGCCTCTACTTAATAATAAAACTATTGCTTATGAAAATAAAGTTATTTATATCAGTTTGATATACGTTATATACGAAAGTATATTACATTCTCCCCTCACAAGTGGTTCAGTGTTAGGAACCAAATATTTTCATCTTATTATTATTGATATGCGGTGTATATTTTGATTAACACCATAACACAAAAGATGGATTCTCAAGGTTGAGAAAACAAGTTAATTTTTCTAACATGAGGGGGAGATATAATAAACAATTGAGAAAAGTTACGTGGAATGAATTATCATTTGTACATTTAGATCCTCGAATAAGATAATATGAACTTGAAGTTCATAAAAAGATAATTCATTTGCAATATATTGCAAAGCATGCCAGACGCATTTGCTTACCTAAAGAAAGTAACTATATTCTAATTGCAAATGCTCATATTAAGTCCTAGAAGGACAAAGTCTATGGTATACTTAAAGCGTATAGCAAATCGGTTTCAAATAAACTTTTAATAAAGAAGATGAGCAAATGATCAAAGTGATCATAATAAAGGAGGCAAGTGATCTAGAAGATCACATGGCATAAAACTTCATAAAATCTCAGGAGAGATTCAGGTACCTGAAAATATGAATGAAGAGATCTCTATGAAAAAAATATTGAAACTGATATAAAATATTTGTCGACGACATCTATGGTACCGCTGAATATATATGAGGATCTTAAGTTTGAAGAAACAATTCAAGTAGAATTGGTTATGAAAGACATGTAGTTTTGGACATGTAATTCAAACACTTGAAAGTATAAAGTCAATGACGAGTGCAATCACTCTTATCTATCTTATGTCTAGCATGACATAAAAACTTGATATGCATCTAAAGTCCATTCATGTGGCTTATATGACTTAACTTATATGACAACCCTTGAAGGATTTAAATTGCTTTAAGTATATATAATTCTTGGTCATGAAGTACTACATCCAAAGTGCAATTTGTGCACATTGTATCTTGCTATAACTATAAGTATGATAATATGATAGCGGAAATTTTTACCTCTATGGAGATATTGAAAAGGCGATTCCACGACATTATATGAAGACATTATATATATACTAGAATGATGATTTCAAGGTGCAACATATTCATTCAAGTGATAATATGACTGATTTGTTCATCAAATCTCTATTGATGTCAACCTTCAAGAAACTAGTGTACAAGATTGGGATGCGAAAGTTGAAGGATGTGAATTGATGCTCTCATCAGGGGAATGAATACGCGTTGTACTCTTTTTCCCTTACAAGGTTTTGTCCCACTGGGTTTTCCTTGCAAGGTTCTTAACGAGGCAACCAAAAGACGTATTATTAAACATGTGTACTCTTTTTCCTTTTCTAGAATTTTTTTCCCATTGGATTTTATTTTAGTTAAGGTTTTAACGAGACACATTACTTATTGAGTAGACATTCAAGGGGAGTGTTATGAACAGAAGTGTAATTAGACTGAATGTTTATCTTTTAAAGAGTTTTACTTTGTGGCTAAGACATTTTTTCCTTATAAATAGAGGGGCCTTACCCCATTATAAATTATCCTAAAATCAATAAAAATTCTCTCTTGCTACTCTTCGTGTAATACTTTTTCTTCTTCTTTTATTGTTTTATTATTTATTACATAGATGAAGTTGTTTCATCGGTAAAAAGATTAGAGACTACTTTTTTCGTTTTCAATATTGGTAAAACGTAATTAAGCACCTCCGGTAGGGGCATAAATGTAAACTAGGCCAACCAAATATCCGCCGCGCCTCGTTGCTGCTATTTTACAGCCCCACCCTATATAATAGTTACCGTATCCCTTAGCATAATCTTGTACCCTCCTAAGTAGTAATAAACTTTCTCGGAAAATCCGCAACAAACAAACTTTCCCAAGAAAATAACTTGCTAAAGAATGTGCGGTGGTGCCATAATCTCCGACTGCATACCTCCACCCCGATCATCCCGCCGACTCACCGCCGACTTGTTATGGGGCTGCTCCAATCTGAACAATAAGAAGAAAAAGAAGAACCCTTTTAATTACCAATACTCAAAGCCGTTGAGATCTGAGGTTGTTGATTTTGATTATGATGACTTTGAGGCTGACTTTCAGGACTTTAAGGATTGCTCTGATGATGAGGTGGATGAACTCAAGCCCCTTGCTGCTTTCTCTGCTTCTGAACAATCTGGAGGAACCTCTGCTGGTAATTTTCTTTGACTGTTTTACTATCTGGGTTTCTAGAAAATGCAGAGAAACCTTAATATGTACTCCCTTAAGAAAGAAATACTTCTAAAGCTTGTTGTCTATATTTTGTGTCTGTAATTGATATTGCAAATGTGATCCATCGTACTTGGAAATGGTACCTCTTAGTCTTTTGGGGTTCCGTCGTTTAGATGTTGTTGATGGCTACCAATGAGGACCGACAATTGTTGTTTGAGTGCAGGGTAAAATTAGAAGTCTAAAGTTAAATTGTTTCTATATGTAAAAAAGTGTGAATATTTTTGGGACAAACTAAAAAGAAGTATCATCACATAAATTAGGACGGAGGGAATGTTAATTTTTTCTTTTTGGTGGGAATGAAATGAGCTCAAGTGGAGTGAAATAGATATTGAGGATTAATATAGCTGAGCCAAACTAGTTTGGATTAAAGGGTAGTACAGTTAGACCTCTCTATAACAACATCGTTATATAATAACCATTCACTATAAAAGCCATGTTTCTTTTGGAACCAATGTCCATGATATGTTATAATATATTTTCTCTATAATAACACTTCCCTATAAAAACCAAAAAAATCTAGAACAAACGAAGCTATTGTAGAGAGGTTTGACTGTAGTATTTTTGTTTTCTGGGTCTTGGATATTTTTCTTCTTCTTCGGGCTGAAGTTTAGATTTAGTGTCCTTGAAGTTTGGGCATTTCTTGTGAGGTTCTGTGAGGAATGCATTTGAGGGGGGAGGGTGTGGTTAGCAGACAGCAGTTGACAGACGTTGTTTATTGGGTCAATATTATTCATGTATTCTTCACTTGATTTATTTCAGAGGATATGGCTATTCTTTGGGCTTAGACTAGGATTTTTTTTGTTCTACCTAAAAAACTGAATGTAACTGTACATGAGTTGTAAAAATTATTCCTTGTGTTGAAATTATTGGTATGCCATTTATTATATGGCTACTCTTTGGGCTGGGACTGCAATTTTTGTTTTTGCCAAAATTGTTGCATTTAACTAGAAGTGAATTTTAAATTTTTTTACTTCTGTTGAAATGATTGGTATTCTATTTAGGAGTTTATGGTTATTCATCTATTAAAATAAGATAACTTTATCTGCAACTGTGGAACGTGAAGCCAAGTTGCTATTTCCATTATTAACTGGAAAAAATTGAACATTGTCATGTATAAAAAAGAAAAAAATTAAAACTTATCAGGATAGAAGATGATCATTTATTTCATTATCATTCTTTTGCAAGTTCTTGTTCGGTGTATGAAATTTTCATGGTCTGTCGTGAGTGTGAGCATAATTAAATGGCTCGGTGTGCATTTAAGTTTTAGCTAGCTTCAGTTCAATCTTATGCTGATATGTTTGCTCTTCCTAGCAAATTTTTATGGTAAGATTATCAAGATTCATGTAATCTGTTTATTCGGATTGGAAATCTTTGTACAAACATAATTTGATTCTGAAATAGATTCTTGCAGAGCAGGTTCCCTAGATTATAATTCCTCTATCTGATGGGGTTGCCACATGATGTCTCTGGAAGAATTCTAGAATAATTTTGTTTTATCTAAGCTGTGATCTTTTGGCAGTTTGGTGCAGATGGTATTGTGGAACGTGTTCTGTAATTGTGTTTTTTTATTAAAATACCAAGACAAAATTTTCGGATTACTTGGCTTGATGAAACCTGTTGTTTATATGTAATTTACTATCAGCTGTTATCAGGGAACATGGTCTGTGCGAGTTCTTTCTCTAGGTTGCTCAATTTCTTAGTCATCTTTACGTAATCGTGTTGCTGGGCTGGTTATTAGAAATTACGCTGCTATTGTGGATGACTGAGGCGCTTGTTTCATTTTATACGTGAAAGGCTCCAAATCATTGAAATCTGTTGATCCAGACAAAGAAGTTGAGAAGTCTTCCAAGAGAAAGAGGAAGAATCAGTATAGGGGGATCAGACAGCGTCCTTGGGGTAAGTGGGCAGCCGAAATACGTGATCCACAGAAAGGGGTTCGAGTCTGGCTTGGAACTTTCAATACGGCAGAAGAAGCTGCCAGAGCTTATGATATTGAAGCTCGGAGGATCAGAGGCAAGAAAGCTAAGGTAAACTTTCCTGATGAAGCCCCAGTGGCTGCCTCGAGGCAAGCTGGTAAGGTAAATCCTCTGACGGTGCTCCCTAAGGCGAGCTCTAACCCAGTTCTGTCCGACGCCACTTTTGTGAACAACTTGGATGATGGATGTTATGAAAAATTGGGCTTTTTCGAAGAGAAACCAACAAAAAATCTGTATGGGTATGACGATTTGTGCCCTACTCCTGGAGATTTGGGACCTAACTCTTATGCCCTTCCAGCTGCTGCTGGTGTTTACTTCAATTCTGATCAAGGAAGTAACTCTTTTGAACCTTCTGATTTTGGCTGGGGCGTGTTCAAGGACACCAGAAATATCATCTGTTCTGTCGGCTGCTGTAGAAAGTGATGAAGCTCAATTTGTTGAAGGTGCCTGCCCAGAGGAAAAACTTATATCGTGTTCCAACATTTCAGCACCTAACGATGGGAACACTGCCCCCAAGCTATCTGAAGAGCTTTCAACTTTTGAATCCCAGATGAATTTCTTCCAAGCCCAACAATCGGAGGGAAACTTGGATGCGTTAGTTGATGCCTTCCTCAATGCAGATGCAACTCAGGATGTTGAAAATGAAATGGACCTTTGGTTCTTTGATGAGCTTTCTTCTCTAATGAGAGGTGTCTACTAAGCTAAGAATGATTCTGCAGACTCAATGCTTCTGCAGACTCGTTGTAAATAAAGCTTCACGCGAGTGAAGTTTGCTCGTCTCTCCTCTCCAAGCAAGGCTCAGTTACTTGCTGTAAGCATTTATTTGAAACTTTACCGTTTGATATCTGTTTCCTTCTTCTTTTAAGTGTCTGTTTAGGAGGATGATGGCAAAGCATTCAAGCAATGAGTAGATGTTGGTTATAGATCAATAGATAGGTAATAGATTATTAACAACCGCAGACAACAACGTGAAGATCTGGTTATTTTACAATGGCAAGTTGCTTTACATGGTCTGTTCGTTGTAGTCAACGTTATGCATATGCTGGCTAAATATAGTTTTGTTAGCTATAGCAGTCCCGGAACAGAGATTAATTAAACTAAGTGGATGATTTGAGCTGTAAATATTGAAAGGAGAGATGCACGATCTTTTGATCGATCAAGAATTGCACTCATTGGAATGTAGTTATGTGAAAATCAGTTTCACAATTTTGAAGACTGCCAGACCTTTCCCCCACCTCAGGCTCCATATTTAATGCCATGATTACTGCTGCAAATTCCTATAATGTGGTGTATTCCTATTGCATAATAGCTGCTCCCACATGGGAATCTATTTACACCTAAATATTAATCTGATATCCATTTATGTCGCAAAGTTTAATGTTTCTAGTCACTTTTTACTTTTTTTTTTTTTTTTTGAATTTTGGTTTCCTACCTTGTACTTGCATTGGGCTCCCGACTAATCCGGATTTGCACCGCGTAAAACCTATTAAAAGGGGAAGCATAGCACTGGATTAGGATTGTTTACATTCCTAGAGCTTGAATCCGAAACCTCTGCTATTCATTCATCCTCCATTCATTTCTTTTACCTCCAAGCATTCTTATAAGTATTAGTTAAGTTTGTAGTAAGTAGAGCCCTTGTTTCAGGATACCTATACATATACACCTCATTAATGACTGCAATTATAGCCTCAAATATAGACATTCTTTGTCCTAACTCCTAACTACTTAAAGAATATTTTACATATTAACTCAGGACGTTACGTAGTGATTATTGTATTTCCTCACTTTGCCAGCACTGTGAAAGGGAAAAATAATGTTGGCGCATCACAAAATTCGGTTCTGACTTCAGAGAAATGTTTGAATTAGTCTTGGTTCGCTGAAGGGCATTTACAACTTTTACCCCATTTTGGTTCCAAAAATGGGGATTTCCCCATTTTGGTCCCAACTTACTCCCAACCATTCCCCCATTTTTTCCCCCAAAAGAAAATATTCTTTTTTATATTCTTCCCTCTCTTCTATATTATATTATTATCTTTCATTTCAATTTTATTTTTTAATTTCCATAAAATAAATTCCATCTTTTATTTTCATTAATTTGTAATTTTCATTAAACAATTCCATAAAATTTCAAATAATATGATTTATAAGCAATTATTATAGATTAACTAATAATTTAAATAAAAGTGAAATCATTGCGATACAAGATTAATTAAATACATATTACATAACGTTAAAATTCATTCGAAATACTACATAAATATTCACCTTCAACCTCTAGTATTTTCCCCATAAATGATCTATTAATGCATTACGAAGTGCAAAATGAGCATCTTTGTTCTTAATTCTTCTATGTCGAGCTAAAAATTCTTGAAATCGTTGATTTTCATCTACTGCCATTTCTACTGTCACACCTTTCAAATCATCTTGAATTGGTGCATTAAGATCACGCTCATTCTCGATTATCATGTTGTGCAGTATAATACATGTAGTCATTATATCATGTAGCACTTCTTTCTGGTAAAAACACGAGGGTCCTGCAACAATTGCTATTTACCGCAGTTTCAATTTTTATGTATTTTAATGTAATGTATTTTCAATTGTCATGTATTTCCAATTTTAATGTATTTTCATTTAATATATTTTCAATCTTCACTTTTCAGTTTTAGCAACATCTAATATTTTATATTCGCACCTTTCAATATTAGCAATATCTAATATTTTATATTTGCACCATTCATTTTTTGAGATAATTATATAGTTTTGTACAATTATAACTTATAATTAAATTAACTTACAATTTTACATAAAAATAATAAATGCACAAAAATTAACTTATCAAAATTATACACCAAAGTTAAGATGTAAAATTAGATATTACATAAACATAATTAGGTATATATAAAGAGATAAATTAAAAAAATTAAATAATAAATAATAATAAAAAAGTGATGAATAGTAATGGGGGAGATGAATAGTGTACCCCCATATTTCAGGGAACACTATTCATCCCCCATTTTGGGGACAAAAATGGAGGAGGGTTGGAGCTAAATTACCCCAAAAATTGCTCCCATTATGAGAAATGGGGGTAAGGTTGGAGATGGCACGAGGAATTAATTACTCGTAATAATTTAAGTAAAGGATGTCTTATTCGNGAACACGCCCAACGCCCAGCATACTGGGATCGCCTAATAGAACTTTATGCAATTGTATGTAACTAACCTTGTAAATCCTCAAATTTTCTTAATAAATCGTTGACTATTCAAAATTACTTTTTTCTTAATCATAAATTATTAAGTTGAGAGTATTTTATGTCATAATTAAACTAAATTATTGCACGTTATCCATTAAGACTGCTGTGATAGTTAATTTTAAATAAATCTTTCATTTAAAAATTATTATTTATTAACTTTTGTTATGTCTTTACTATATAATAGTCCATAATTTTTTTATAATTATTTTTCTAAATATTTTTTTTTCTTCATGTTTACGAGATACAATACTTATTTATTTAATAACTCAGTATTAGCTAGTAACTATTTACAAATAATTAGTTCTCATGATATTGTATGGTGAATTATGTGTCACTTTATTAACTTGTTGAAACTTAAAAATAAACGATGCTAGAGAATCATATTTAAATTGTGAATTATGTTTTTATATAAATTCTCTTTCAAATAGAAAGCATATTATATAAAAGGAGTATTTTAAGAAAAATATCAAGTTATAATATCGAAATTCTTTCATGATTCATTACTCCTTAAGAGATACATATAAGATTTCGTATCGAATACATTACTTTTGATGTTTGAGTTGTAACGACGTTGCAGCTAATTTGCATATTATGATATTTGTCATACTTTTCTTATTATTCATAGTTGAATTATAATTTATAAATATTTTAAAAAGATTATTTATTATAATTTTGTGATTTTAATGTTATTTTCATAATTAATTTTTATTTTATACTACCTTAAAATTCTTGAAATTAGTAAAATTTAAAGATCCGTGGAACTTACGCCACATGTCTCAGGGCTTACGCCTCGCCTCGCGCCCGTGCCTTTTAAAACATTGTAGTGTACCCTCATATTTGGGGGAACACTATTCATCCCCCATTTTAGGGGCAAAAATGGGGGAGGGTTGGAGCTTCATTATGGCAAAAGTTGCCCCCATTATGGGAAAGTGTGGGAGGGTTGGAGATGGCCTAAGAAAGTCAAAATGCTAAAAGTTCACGTTGATTTGGTAATAATGATTTCGATATGTGATGACCCAAAAGGTCATCACTTGTTTTAGAAACAAATTCACTGTTCCGAGGCCTAAAAACCTCCTTTTTACCTCACCTCGATTTGCGTGCGTGGTCCAGACCTATATCGAAAAGCCTTCTATGTGAAATTATGAGAAATAGAAATTTCAAGAGTTAAAATTTGATTATGGTTGACTTTGGTCAATATTTTGGGCAAACGGACCCGGTTCCGTCTTCCAATGATCCCGGGAGGTCCGCAGTAAAATATGGGACTCGGGCGTATGCCCGGAGATGAATTCCGAGGTCCCAAGCCTTAGAAATCAATTTTTGAAAGAAATTGTTTTGCTGAATTATCTATGAAATGAAGAAAAGAATTAATGTTTGAAACCATGGGTATCGGACCCGTATTTTAGTTCCGGAGCCCGCTACAAACTTGTTGTAGTATTTAAATGATAACTGTGAAATTTGGTGAAAAACAGAGTTTATTTGACGTGAGTTGGACTTCCGATTGAAGAGTTATGAACTTTAAGTGTTCTTGATGAAAATGTTGAATTTTGAGGTTTAATTCATGGTTTTACATGTTAATTTGATGATGTGATTGCACGAGTAGGTCCATATGATGTTTTTGAGTAAGTATGCATATTTGGTTTGAAGTCCCGAGGGCTCGGGTGAGTTTCGGGTAGGTTCCGGGATGTCCTAGGCTTAAAACATAGCTGTTGCAGGTTCAGAGAAGTGCAGATCTCTGAACCCACCAGTGCGGTCCGCATTGATTTTGTGCTGTTCGAGGTGGGGGCTTTGCGGCGGCACTCGATTTTGTGTGGTCCGCACAGGTTCACTGGTCTGGTTTCGGAAGTCTATATCTTTTGATCTACAAGGAATTTTGAGATGATTCGAAAAACGAAAGTTGTAGCCCTTCGTGTCTAGTTTTCAGAAAGGTAAGATAATCGCAATTTGGACATCAGTAGAGAAAGTTATGGCCAAAATACTAAAGCATGTCACTGCAGTCAACATTGTGAGCTCCGCGGCCGCACTCGATTTTGTGCGGTCCGCACAGAGGGTCTGAGATGGGTATATTTAGATGGAATTTTCAGTTATTTTTCATTTTTCAAAATCCTAAAAACATAAGAGGTGATTTTTCAAACAACCTTTCTTCTCCAAAACATTAGTAAGTGATTTCTAACTCATTTTCTTTACTCCTTAGCTTCTTTTTACAAGATTTCATCCTAGAATCTAGGGGTTTCATGGTGGAATTGGGAATTTTGGGTAATACCTATGAATATTAAAATTTGGGGATTTAGACCTCAAATTGAGGTCGGATTCCAAAACCAATCACATATCCGGGCTCGGGGGTAAATGGGAAATCGGGTTTGCGTCCGAATTTCGGGTTTGGACCAAACGGGCCCGAGGTCGATTTTTGACCTTTGAGAAAAACTTTAGAAAAACTTATTTCCATGCATTAGAATTGATTCATTTAGCATTTATTGATGTAATTAAGTAACTTGTGGCTAGATACGAGCGAGTTGGTAGTGGAATCAAGAGGTAAAGCGATAGCTGAGGCTTGAATTGTGTTCGTGGCATCGAGGTAGGTGTTTGGTCTAACCTTAGCTTGAGGGATTAGGAGTTGTGTCCTATTTGCTATGTGCTATTTGTTGAGTACGACGTATAGGTATGGTGACGAGTATCTATACGTTGGTGTCAAGCATGCCCGTGAGTCTTATGTTATGATTAATGTAACTCCATTTGTATTGCTCATGTTTAATGTGATGATTGCTATTGTTGAACAAGGTTTGTGGAAAGAGTATTGGTATTTGAACAGTGAAGAGCGTTGGCTCAAGTTTTAAAGTGATTTGTGGAAGTGTAATTGGCAATTGAACCTGATAGAGCATTGACTCAAATTGTGAATCGAGTTGTGAAATAAGTGTGAAAAAGAGAAGAGGATATGACATTATTCCCTTGCCGGGATGTTGTTTCTT